AATGGAAATATGATGTAAAATATTTCAAAATTCATTATTTTAACTTGAAAAATGACTAAAATTAGATCTATTAGGAGTTTATTATCAATATAATGTATTATATGATGAATGCACATTCGTTAAAGGTAGATTTGGTCGAAAAACAACTATAACGAATGTACAGTCGTTATTTCTATGTTATAACGAATGTACATTCGTTATAGTTGTTTTTCGACTAATTCGAGCTTTATTTATGGTTTTTTCGGTCGATTTACTTGATAACGCATGTATATTCATGTTACATGTCATTGGATCGATAGTTTTAAGTTGTTAGATCGTCGAAACCTTCATCACAGGACTATTTTCTTCAAACAACACTTGTTTTTTTTTTTTAAATGGAAATATGATGTAAAATATTTCAAAATTCATTATTTTAACTTGAAAAATGACTAAAATTAGATCTATTAGGAGTTTATTATCAATATAATGTATTATATGACGAATGCACGTTCGTTAAAGGTGGATTTGGTCGAAAAACAACTATAACGAATGTACAATCGTTATATCTATGTTATAACGAATGTACATTCGTTATAGTTGTTTTTCGACTAATTCGAGCTTTCTTTATGGTTTTTTCGATCGATTTACTTGATAACGCATTATATTCATGTTACATGTCATTGGATCGATAGTTTTAAGTTGTTAGATCGTCGAAAACCTTCATCACGGAACTATTTTCTTCAAACAACACTTGTTTTGTTTTTTTATGTAGTATATAGTTTATAACATATAGTATAAAGTTTATATGACATATATTAATTCGGCATATATAGTCTATAGTATATATTATATAGTATATATGTACTAACTTGACTTTAGTTAGATTAATTTGACTTCAATTAGTCTAATTTAACTTTAATTATATCAATTCGAGTTCGATTACATTATAATTGACTGAGATTGTACTAATTTGACTTCAATTATATTAATTTGACTTCAATTGTATTAATTTGACTTTAATTAGATTAATTCGAGTTCGATTACATTATAATTGACGGAGATTGTACTAATTTGACTTTAATTGGACTAATTCGAGTTCGATTATATTATAATTGACCGAGATTGCACTAATTTGACTTTAATTGTACTAATTTGACTTTAATTAGGTTAATTCGAGTTCGATTACATTATAATTGATCTAGCTTATACTAATTTGAATTCAATTGTACTAATTTCACTTTGATTAGATTAATTCGAGTTAGATTACATTATAATTGATGGAGATTGTACTAATTTGACTTTAATTGGACTAATTCGAGTTCGATTATATTATAATTGACCGAGATTGCACTAATTTGACTTTAATTGTACTAATTTGACTTTAATTAGATTAATTCTAGTTAGATTACATTATAATTGATCGAGATTATACTAATTTGACTTCAATTGTACTAATTTCACTTTGATTAGATTAATTCGAGTTAGATTACATTATAATTGACGGAGATTGTACTAATTGGACTTTAATTGGACTAATTCCAGTTCGATTATATTATAATTGACCGAGATTGCACTAATTTGACTTCAATTGTACTAATTTAACTTTAATTAGATTAATTCGAGTTCGATTACATTATAATTGATCGAGATTATACTAATTTGACTTTAATTGTACTAATTTCACTTTGATTAGATTAATTCGAGTTTGATTATATTATAATTCATCGAGATTGCACTAATTTGACTTCAATTGTACTAATTTGACTTTAATTAGATTAATTCGAGTTCGATTACATTATAATTGATCGAGATTATACTAATTTGACTTCAATTGTACTAATTTCACTTAGATTAGATTAATTCGAGTTCGATTATATTATAATTGATCGAGATTGCACTAATTTGACTTCAATTTTAATATCCCGTCAGTTTCAGTATAAATTATATTTTTAGTTCCGATATTAATTTTCGGAATTAATTATTTTCAGACAGTTCAGTTGAAATTACCGGAATTTATTTTCGATGTATCGTTTACGTTCGAAATAATTTTGGTAATTGAGCATTATGTTTAATTGAAAAATTAAACATAATTAAATGGCTAATTATCAATTAATCACAAGATCATGTATATAAACCGTTCGGTTTTTCCAAATTGTCTTCTAAATTGCCGTGTGATTAAGTGGCATTTAGTAGTGAATTTGGATCAAATAAATGCCTTGTATTTTAAGTGGGAAATTGTCCAACTTTCCTCACTTTTAAGTAGCTAAACGTGGCTTGATTTGGGATAAGTAGAAGGGCTTAGTCATCTTAAGTGGGTTTAGATATTCCCAAGTGTCCTTAGCATTATTCAAACACATAATCACTCCATCATCACTTGTTTTATGCGGTGCTTATATAAAGATGTGTTGGGTGGGGAATTTTTCCCATCTTTCCCATATGCATGTCCAACATAAGCTAAAGCCGTAAGTCACCTTAATAGTTCAGCTTATATATATTCTAAGTGTCGAGAGATAAGTGAAATTTTGTGAGAATTTTGAGTGATTGTCGAGAGTACCGCAAGCACCGTAAACTATCGCCCGAGCTATCGCACACCGCACGGTTAATCGCACGCAAGCAGCAAGCATCGCACGCGTAGCAGTAGTTCTTCACGGCAGTCAGCACATTGCTCGGCGGTCAGGCGTACACAAGCATCTACGAGTGTTGTAGTAGTCCGTCGCGCGTACCGCAAGCCATCGCACGCTACGCCGCAAGTTACCGCACGGCGTCGCACACACGCGGAGGGTCACGGCCGAGTACGGGAATTCGAGAAGATTAGTCACTCGGGCTTAATCAGAGGTAATTCCCGACGGTTGTTGACCGAGATT